GCCACCAAGCTAATGGGATACTGGCTTCTTGAGACCCCAATCATAGATTTGGAGACCTCAAGGACTATTCAATCCAATCCAATCCAATAGCACAGGAACATACAATCAAAGCACTCCTAAGAGATGGCCATCCTGCTTCAGTTTGAAAACTTCTAGTGTAAGAGATTTCACCATGATCTGAGGCCCCATCTACACTGCCATAACAGCCAGTAAAGGTGGTCCCAGTGGTGATCGGCACACTGGGTGCAGTGCCTAAAGACCTTGGCCTGCACTTAAACACAATCGGCGCTAAAAAAATTACCATCTTTCAGCTACAGAAGGCCACCTTACTGGGATCTGCATACATTATTCGCCAATACATCACACAGTCCTAGACACTTGGGAAGTGTCCAACGTGTGATCCAATACAACAGCCAGCAGAGTGATCTTGACTGCTGTGGACTCATCTTGTTATGTTTCTAATAATAATAATAATAATAATAATAATAATAATAAGAAGAAGAAGAAGAAGAAGAAGAAGAAGAAGTCAACAACAGATCCCAAATGCAGACTCTGCAAGGAAGCAGATGAAACAATAGATCACATCCTCAGCAGCTTCAAGAAGATCGCGTAGACAGACGACAAGCAGAGGTATAACCCGTTGCTCAGATGATTCATTGAAACGTGTGCCACAAATACCATCTGCCTGCGACAAAGAACTGGTGGGATCACAAGCTGGAAAAAGTTACAGAAAATGAACATGTCAAACTCCTCTGGGACTTCTGAATTCAGACTGACAGAGTTCTGGAGCACAATACTCCTGGCCTCACGATTGTGTTAAAAAACAAAGTATGGATCGTCGATGTTGCAATTCCAGGTGACAGCAGGATTTAAAATAAATAACTGGAAAACCTGACACGATGTGAGGATTTAAAGATCAAACTGCAAAGACTCTGGCACAAGCCAGTACAGGTGGTCCCACTGGTGATTGACACACTGGGTGCAGTGCCTAAAGACCTTGGCCTGCACTTAAACACAATTGGTGCTAACAAAATTATTTATTTATTTATTTATTTACTTAGAACTTTTATATCCTGTTCTTCTCTACCTCCGTGGAGGGACTCAGAACAGCTAAATAACCATTTGCCAGCTGCAGAAAGCCACCTTGCTGGGATCTGCACGCATTATTCGCCGATACATCACACAGTCCTAAATGCTTGGGAAGTGTCCGATGTGTGATCCAATACAACAGCCAGCAGAGTGATCTTGTCTGCTGTGGACCCATCTTGTTGTTTTTCAATTTATAATAACTTTATTTACACCCCGTCCTATCTCCCTGAGGGGACTCTGGGTGGCTGCCATGTAATCCTGATTATCAAAACAGATCATCCATATTGTCTGCTTTGAACTGGATTATATGAATCCACATTCAGAAGAAGATCTACAAGCCACTCTAAACACTTTCGCAGAAGCATACGAGAAGCTCGGCCTGTCACTGAACATTGAGAAAACCAAAGTGCTCTTCCAGCAGTCACTGGCTAATCCCTCTCCAATGCCAGTGATACAGCTTAATGGTATAACATTAGAAAATGTTGACCATTTCCGCTACCTTGGCAGCCACCTCTCCACCAAAGTCAACATCTACACTGAAATTCAACACCACCTGAGCTCTGCGAGTGCAGCATTTTTCCGAATGAAGCAGAGAGTGGTTTGAGGACCAGGATATAGGGATACCAAGGTGCTTGTTTATAAAGCTATTGTCCTCCCAACCCTGCTATACGCCTGCAAGACGTGGACAGTCTACAGATGTCACATGCAACTCCTGGAACGATTCCATCAGCGCTGCCTCCGGAAAATCCTGCAAATCTCTTGGGAAGACAAGCGGACAAACGTCAGCGTGCTGGAAGAAGCAAAGACCACCAGCATTGAAGCGATGGTCCTGCACCATCAACTCCGCTGGACTGGCCAGTTTGTCCGGATGCCCCACTGTCTCCCAAAGCAGTTGCTCTACTCCGAACTTAAGAACGGAAAATGGAATGTTGGAGGACAGGAAAAGAGATTTAAAGATGGGCCCAAAAGCCAACCTTAAAAATCTGGCATAGACACTGAGAACTGGGAAGCCCTGGCCTTGAGCGCTCCAGCTGGAGGTCAGCTGTGACCAGCAGTGCTGCAGAATTTGAAGAGGCACGAATGGAGGGTGAAAGAGAGAAACGTGCCAAGAGGAAGGCGCATCAAGCCAACCCCGACCGGGACCACCTTCCACCTGGAAACCAATGCCCTCACTGCGGAAGAAGATGCAGATCAAGAATAGGGCTCCACAGCCACCTACAGACTCACAAGAATTCTGATCCTGGAAGACTATCCTACTCGGCAGACCTAGGGCCTCTGATAGATTTTGATTGGAAAAGGGTCCTGAAGTGGAGAGTGGCTAAGAACCTATCAATAAGATTAAAAGAAAATGTATACAAAGTTATATGGAGATGGTATACCACGCCAGTCAAACATCATCAGATGGATAGCAAGCGAAGTAACCTCTGCTGGAGATGTGGCAAACACAAAGTGACATATTTTCATTTATGGTGGGAATGCCCCCAAGTGAAGAATTTTTGGAAGGATATATTTACCGAAATAAACAACATTATAGAATCAAATATTACGCCGGATGCTATTTGCTCACAGTAGGAAGAATTATAATAGCAAAGAATTGGAAAATAATAACTAATCTAACACTGAAAGCATGGTATAGGGAACTTTAGAATGTAGCTTTAAATGATAAACTAACAATGGAAATGAGGGTATTCAGGGGGGAAATTAACAGGTCAGATTTTGAGGCATTGGTCAGTCTTTATTAAATATGTCTTAGAGAGCGAAAATGGAAAACAACAGAATTTGGCTGGTCAGGAATTCTGGAGAGGACATTTGATTAATGGCTGATTTATAAATACATGGTGAAGGAAATGATACTTGTTCAGGCCTTGGTGGTGGGGCTTTGTGTTTGTAAAATGTTCACTGTTTTATGTTTTGTCTATTCTGTAAGTTGTTATTGTATATAAATAAAATCTTAAAAAAAAAAAACGAATAGGGCTCCACAGTCACCTACAGACCCACAAGAATACTGATCCTGGAAGACTATCCTGCTCGGCCAATGAGGGATCGACTAAGTAAGTAAGTATGAGTCCACACTGTGACATAATCCAGTTCAAAGCAGACCATCTGGATTTTATACAGCAGTGTAGAAGGGGCCTATGGTGGCAGCTAATTACACAACCAAACAACAGTCACACACAATTTATTTCACTCCATAGACCCATCAGTAAAACCAACAATCATTATAAATTATAGTCAGGAAATTCTTCCTAATGTATAGGCGGATTCTGTTTTTTCCTGCAATTTGAGTCCTCTAGCAATCACAGCCCTCTTTGGGCTCTTCTTCTCAAATCACTAGAAAACTAGCGGTCCCCTGCCATGCGTTTCTGTGGCCCAGTCTGGTGATTTGGAAAATAAAGTAATTAGAAAGTGCTGGTTTCTAATATATGTAATGTCTTCCTGCTTGTGGGTAAACAGTATTTCTTGATGTTTCTTTGACAGTGTTGATGTAGAGATTGTCTGGTTTGCCTACTCTGGAACATGCAACATGTAACTGTCCCTTTCAAATCTATAATACTTTATCTGTGTGTGTGCAAATCATATATATCTATCTATATCTATGGCTTGATGGCTCTCTGTCAGGAGGGCTTTGATTACGTTTTCTTGCCCTGGTGAAGGGAGTTGGACTGGATGGCCTTAAGTATTTTCTGTTGGTCATGGGGGTTCTGTGTGGGAAGTTTGCCCCAATTCTGTCGTTTGTGGGGTTCAGAATGCTCTTTGATTGTAGGTGAACTATAAATCCCAGTAACTACAACTCCCAAATGTCAAGGTCTATTTCCCCCAAAATCCATCTGTGTTCATATTTGGGCATATGGAATATTCGTGCCAAGTTGGTCCAGATCCATCATTGTTTGAGTCCACAGTGCTCTCTGGATGTAGGTGAACTACAACTCCCAAAGCTCAAGGTCAATGCCCACCAAACCCTTCCAGTATTTTCTGTTGGTCATGGGAGTTCTGTGTGTGGTGGAGGCTCTTTCTTTGGAAGCTTTTAAACAGAGGTTGGATGGCCATCTGTCGGGGGTGCTTTGAATGCGATTTTCCTGCTTGTAGACAGGGGGTTGGACTGGATGGCCCATGAGGTCTCCTCCAACTCTATGATTTTATGATTCAATTCCATCGTTTGGAGTTCAGAATGCTCTTTGATTGTAGGTGAACTATAAATCCCAGCAGCTACAACTCCCAAATGACAAAATCATAATTTTTTGTGTAATGGTCACTCCTTGTGTTGTGAGATGTTTTGTTGCCAAATTTGATGTGATTTCGTTCATTGCTTCTTTTGTTTTTAAGGTACTCATTATGAACAGAGCATTTTTATATAGAGAGATAGTCAGGAAATTATTCCTAATGTATAGGTGGATTCTGTTTTTTCCTGCAATTTGAGTCCTCTGGCAATCACAACCTACAGAAACAGCCCTATTTGGGCTCTTCTTCCTAAATCACCAGAAAATGAGTGACAGGTTTGTTCATTTGCCAGTCCATCATTGATTCCTAAACTCTCCTCCTCCAGGTGTTTTGGACTTCATCTCCCAGAATCCCTGATGATTGACCAAGGCAGCTGAGGCTTCTGGGAATTGAAGTCCAAAACCATTTGAGGAGAAGAGTTTGGGAATCACTGATGGACTGCAGAATGAATGCAGTTGGACACCACTTGAACTTTTAGGTTTCAGATTGTATTGGTTTTACTGTATTCTGCTTTCACCACCCCCTGAACAGGCCTCCCCCTTTGTCTGGCTTCTCCCAACCTGTTTTCCCCTTCCAGCCAGCCTCTCCCCCACAGAACCGGCCTCGACTCTTCCCTAGGAAGACCCCACTCTCGTTGGTCCCATTTCTCCCCCTCAAGGGGCGGAGCTTCGGGAGAGGAAGCTCGGACTCACCTGCTCCGCAGCGCGACCCCGACGAGGCTGGACTGGGGAAACCCCGGAAGTGAGTGAGCCCGAAACAGCTGCAGCGCCCCAGCGGGAGCGCGCCCTCTGACGTCACCCGCCCCACTCTGAACCACAGAGACAGGAATTGTAGAGAGACTCCAGCAATACATGGAGAGAGAGTTGCCAGATGGACAAGCTGGGTTTAGAAAAGGCAGAGGAACCAGAGACCAAATTGCCAATATCCACTGGCTAATGGAGAAAGGCAGGGAGTTTCAGTAAAACATCTATTTCTGTTTTATTGACTACTAGCCGTCCCCTGCCACGCGTTGCTGTGGCCCAGTCTGCTGATCTGGAAAATAATTAGAAAGTGTTGTTTTCTAATATATTATTATTATTATTATTATTATTATTATTATTAAACTTTATTTGTACCCCGCTAGCATCTCCCGAAGGATTCGATGCGGCTTACACAGGCCGAGGCCTCAACACACAACACAACAATACAATCTAAGCAAATCAAACAATTAAAAACAGAATAAAGCAAAATAAACAACAGGCACAATACACTAAACACAATAAAACTGGGCCGGGCCAGAGCAATGGGTACAAGATTAAAAGTGCTGATGTGACAGGAGGTGTATATAGGGCTTCCAGGGCAAGTGCGATGTGCGATGTGCAGCAATCATTGGTTCTGATAAAGTGCTTATGGGACTTGGTGGTGGAGATTTCCTAATCTGGGAAGGCGCATCGGAAAAGCCAGGTCTTCAAGTTCTTTCTGAAGACAGCCAATGTAGGGGCCTGTCTAAGGTCTTTGGGGAGGGTGTTCCAGAGTTGGGGGGCCACCACGGAAAAGGCCCTGTCCCGCGTCCCCACCAAGTGCACTTGCGACGCCGGTGGGATCACGAGCAGGGCCTCTCCAGATGACCGAAGAGAACGCGTGGGTTCGTAGATGGAAATGCGGTCACGCAGGTAGGCTGGTCCCAAACCGTTCAGGGCTTTGTAGGTAAGACACCTGCACCTTGAATTGGGCTCGGAAAATAAATGGCAGCCAGTGGAGCTCCTTAAACAGAGGGGTAGACCTCTCTCTGTAAGGAGCCCCAGTTAGCATCCTGGCTGCTGATCGTTGGACCAGTTGGAGCTTCCGAGCCGTCTTCAAGGGCAGCCCTACGTAGAGCGCATTGCAGTAATCCAATCTGGAGGTGACCAAGGCATGGACCACTCCGGCCAGATATATATAATTTCTTTATGCTTGTGGATAAACAGTATTTCTTGCTGTATCTTTGTCAGTGTTGATGTGGAGATTGTCTGGTTTGCCTACTCTGGAACATGCGACATAAAATTGTGCATCAAATCTATTATTATTATTATTATTATTATTAACTATTTATACCACGCAAAATCTCCCGTAGGACTCAATGCGGCTTACAAAGGCCAAGGCCGCCAACAATCAACAACATACAATACACAATAAACTCAAAAGCAAATAATAAACAGCAAGCAAAACAATAAAACAGTAAAACAATGACCCCATGACATAATTAAAACCAAAGGCCGGGCCAAATGTAATGGACAAAAATTAAAATGCTGAACTTGACAGGTAATATGTAGAGGTATATGGAGGTAGGTGCAATGTGCAGATAATCCTGAGTCTCTAGCAAAGTGCAATTGGGGCTTGAAACCAGGAGTTTCTTATTCTGGAAAGGCACACTGGAACAGCCAGGTCTTCCGGCTCTTCCTAAAGACAGCCAACCTTGGGGCTTGTCTGATGTCCTTGGGGAGAGAGTTCCAGAGTTGGGGGGCCACCACAGAGAAGGCCCTGTCCCTCGTCCCCACCAAACGCGCCTGCGACGCAGGTGGGATCGTGAACAGGGCCTCTCCAGATGATCGAAGGGAGCGTGCGGGTTCGTAAACGGAGATGCGGTCACGCAGGTAGGCAGGTCCCAAACCGTTTAGGGCTTTGTAGGTGAGCACCTGCACCTTGAATTGGGACCGGAAGATGAACGGCAGCCAATGGAGCTCCTTGAACAGGAGGGTTGACCTCTTTCTGTAAGGAGCACCAGTTAACATCCTGGCTGCCGCCCGCTGGACTAGCTGAAATTTCCGAGCCGTTTTCAAGGGCAGCCCCACGTAGAGCGCATTACAGTAATCCAATCTAGAGGTGACCATATGCTACTATATCTCTCTGTGTGTGAATCATATCTATCTATATCTATGGCTGGAAGGCTCTTTGTCAGGAGGGCTTTGATTATGTTTTCTTGCCCTGGTGAATGGAGTTGGACTGAATGGCCTTAAGTATTTTCTGTTGGTCATGGGGGTTCTGTTTGGGAAGTTTGCCCCAATTCCATTGTTGGTGGGGTTCAGAATGGTCTTTGATTGTAGGTGAACTATAAATCCCTGTAACTACAACTCCCAAATGTCAAGGTCTATTTTCCCCAAACTCCATTTGTGTTCATATTTGGGCATATTGAATATTCGTGCCAAGTTTGGTCCAGATCCATCATTGTTTGAGTCCACAGTGGTCTCTGTAGGTGAACTACAACTCCCAAACTCAAGGTCAATGTCCACTAAACCCTTCTAGTGTTTTCTGTTGGTCAGGAGTCCTGTGTGTCACCTTTGGTTTAATTGCATCATTGGTGGTGTTCAGAATGCTCTTTGATTGTAGGTGAACTATAAATCCCAAGAACTACAACTCCCAAATGACAAAATCAATTTTTTGAGTGAAATATATAGAAAGCAGATATATTGACCTCAGAAGATTTGTTGTTGTTGTTCATTCTTTCAGTCATTTCCAACTCTTCGTGACATCATGGACCAGCCCATGCCAGAGCTCCCTGCCAGCTGTCACCTCCCCCAGCACCTTCAGAGTTAAGCCAGTCACTTCAAGATGGAAGGATGCCATCCATCCATCTTGCCCTTGGTTGGCCCCTCTTCCTTTTTCCTTCCATTTTCCCCAGCATCATTGTCTTCTCTAAGCTTTCCTGTCTCCTCATGATGTGGCCAAAGTACTTCATCTTGCCTCTACTATCCTTCCCTGCAATGAGCAGTTGGGCTTTATTTCTTGAAGTATGGACCAGTTGGATCTTCTGGAGGTCCAAGGCACTCTCAGAACTCTCCTCCAGCACCACAGTTCAAAAGCATCTATTTTCCATTGCTCAGCCTTCCCTCTGATTCAGCTCTCACATCCATAGGTTTCTATGGGGAATACCATTGCTTTAACTATGATGATCTTCGTTGCCAGTGTGATGTCTCTATTCTTCACTATTTTATCGAGATTGGACGTTGCTCTCCTCCCAAGAAGTAAGCGTCTCCTGATTTCCTGGCTGCAGTCTGCGCCTGCAGTAATCTTTGCACCTAGAAATACAAAGTCTGTCACTGCCTCCATGTTTTCTCCCTCTATTTCCCAGTTGTCAATCATTCTTGTTGCCATAATCTTGGGTTTTTTTATGTTGAACTGCAACCCAGCTTTTGCGCTTTCTTCTTTCACCTTGATTTGAAGGCTCCTCAGCTTCTCCTCACTTTCGGCCATCAAAGTGGTATCATCTGCATATCTAAGTTTGTTAATGTTTCTTCCAGCAATTTTCATCCCAGACTTGCATTCCTCAAGCCCCGCACATCGCATGATGTGTTCTGCATACAAGATGAATAGGTTGGGGGAGAGTATACAACCCTGCCGCTTGCCTTTCCCAATCTTGAACCAGTCTGTTGTTTCATGGTCAGTTCTTACTGTTGCTTCTTGGTCCTTGTACAAATTCCTCAGGAGAGAGACAAGGTGATTTGGTATGCCCATACCACTAAGAACTTGCCACAATTTATTATGATCCACACAGTCAAAGGCTTTATAATAGTCATATAATCATCGCCATATAATCCAGTTCAAAGCAGGTGATGTGTATTTTTACAGCCGTGTAGTTTACAGACTTAGTTTCTCCGATTTATGTTGACTCCAAGGGGATCTATACTGCATTATAATCTAGTTTCTGAATCCAAATTATCATTTTTGAGCTGGATTATACCCATCTACATCACAATATTATTTATTTATTTATTTATTTGCTTCATTTCTATACCGCGTTTCTCAGCTTTGTTAGGCGACTCAATGCGGTTTACACAATGTAATTATCACAACACTAACAGTTAAAAAACATCATACACAATAACAAAATACACAATTATTATCAATACATAATGCCTCGTTAACAAAACAAAATCCATTCTCATAATCCTTGTGCCATTCCTATGTTCAATTTGCCGTCTTCAATTTGCCGTCCAATGTCTGAGGCCCCTTCTACACTGCCATATAAAATCCAGAATATCTGCTTGGAATTGAATTATATGGCAGTGTGGACTCATATAATACAGTTCCAAGCGGATCATGTGGGTTATCTGCTTTGATAATCTGGTTTTTTTTTTCATTCTTTAATTCCTCAATAGTTTGTTTTGTGAGTGTCCCCTCCTTCTGCCACTTATTTTGTAATGTTCTGACTACATATTCATTGTCTTCTGTCCTTTCATAAATATATTTTCAAGCGCACTTTCTTTGCCTAAACATTCTCCATATTCAGTTCTTGTGGGTTTTTTCGGGCTATATGGCCATGTTCTAGAGCAGTGGTTCTCAACCTTCCTAATGCCGTGACCCCTTAACACAGTTCCTCATGTTGTGGTGACCCCCAACCATAGCCCTAACATTATGAATCGCCATGTAAATAATGATCTGCAGGATGTATTTTCATTCATTGGAGCAAATTTGGCACAAATACCCGGTATGCCAAATCTGAATACTGGTGGGGTTGGCGGGGGGATTGATTTTGCCATTTGGGAGTTGTAGTTGCTGGGATTTATAGTTCACCTGTAAACAAAGAGCATTCTGAACCCCACCAACAATGGAATTGAACCAAAGTTGGCACACAGAACTCCCATGACCAACAGAAAATACTGGAAGGGTTTGGTGGCATTGACCTTGAGTTTGGGAGTTGAAGTTCGCCTATATCCAGAGAGCACTCTAGACTCCAACAATGATGGATCTGGACCAAACTTGGCACAAATACTCAATATGTTCAAATGTGAACACTCGTGGGGTTTTGGGAAAATAGACCTTGAGATTTGGGAGTTGT